GCAGACAAATCAAATTTCACGTCAAAGGAGGGCAACCTCGAAGGGTTCTTGGCTTTGAAGTGAGGCTGTTACAACCATGCCAAGGTGGCACAGGCACCCCAACACTTAGCACTGCTCACATGCCAACACTAGATTAACAGCAAACTTGAGGTAACGCTTCTTGCGTATAATCGCAATCACTACTGGATGATCTGTCGATGTGCCTAGGCTTCCATTTAACGTTCCGTGGGAAATTAAAACCATCCCTCTGTAAGTGAGGGAAACGATGAGAGGAAGCAGTGAAGCACAATGATCCAATGACGCCGGCAAATTTCCACAGAATGCACTCGAGCAACAGATATGACCTTAGGGCATGCAGTCTGACCCGATATGCTTTTTATGTGGCCTGTTTGGGATACGCTGAGATTGAAGCATTCAAAGGCATGAGGCACGATTATTCTGCACTGAAATGGTAGTAGGGATGCTATTTAGTGAGAAAGTGGCGATAAAGCAAAGTGATTTGGTCAAAACCTGCAAAAAGCCTTCGTTCTACACGACTTAGAAAGCAATTTCGGACGAGTTTTCCGTTGGCGTTGTGCCAATATCCGCTACGCAGCGGTAGATACGGCTGTATGTATTCATATATCCATACAGCACCGCAGCATTTAATACCAACCTCTCCGCTTCATATTGAACATCGCAAGTGAAGCGATACATCAGCATCGCTCGGACATTTGTGGGCGGGGGACGCGGTGGGCGTCCTTGTGGCTATGTTGCAGCGTGATGGGACGCTATAAGGGTACTTCATCTGAGAAAGGTGCCACGCAGTGCCTACTTAGGGACGTCGAAATCTGTCTTGCTCGGCGTATTAATCCTACACGCCTTGGGGATTTATCGTGCCACTTGCCTTCAATAAAAATGAAACAACTTGGCGTAGTCAGAGATCCCGCACAATCAATGAAGTTCAACATCCAAGCTGCAAAAGGCTTTTAATACGGAAGATAGTCTTCTAATAAATCACACTTTATTCAGGGTAATTACAACATATTACACTGTACTATGCGAAGAACCTTTTATATACAATAACTTTGGAAGCAGCGCTGACTTCATGAGATACAGAAAAAAATCGTCCATAAAAATATAAAAAAAAGTATGGGCAGCATGTAGGCAACATGAAGAACTTTACAACGAGCCGGCGATTTCGTGGAAAAAACGAATGCTTTGTAGTTACAATGTTCCAGCAGTTTATGGAGTATGCAGAGCTTGTAGAGTGTCAAACATGGAACAGCTGATTCCTGCTCGTCATCAATAATACTGAAGTGACGGTAATCAGGATGGCCAGGAAAGAAAACGTTTGTCGTGTGCTATTGCACAAGTCTCCTTCACAGAAAGCATTGTTGTGCCTTGATCCTGAAACGAATACTCTGCAGTTTTGCTGAGTAAATACTGCATAACATTTAAGTTTTTGCTCATTACAGTTGATATCGCAGTCTGTCAGGGCGGTGTCAGGATGGAAGTGAGCGGCACCCGAGTGGGTGGGCAGTTGTACGAGGTGGGAAGGGGGGGGGGGTGTGCTGACAGACATTTTGCACTTTCGTTACTTCTCATCGACGTGTCGACCTATTTAGGCAGCCTCTTCTCGAGTTCGCAGGTTTTACTGTGGTTTTTAAATGAGCTTGCTCCAGCAGAGTTCACAAGCGTTTTCGCCAACGTGTGAGACAGGTAAACTGTAAGCTATGGGAGACAATGATTGTACAGGATACGCCCCCCCCCGCCTCAGGTCCGTCAAACTGCGCCCCGCAGTTTTTTCACATTGATTACAATATTTCTTCTTAAATCAGCCACTAAGCAAAGGCGGGACAGAGCTCTATCCGCCCTATCTGATCCGCTCAGACTGATTGCGTGTGCTATATCAAACGCATACTTGTAGGCGCAACTAGCTAAATAAGCAAGCCTCCGACCACGGATTCACGGGTAAGGGAGCTATAATAGGAATGTCAAGGTGACAAGAAGCTCAGCAAGGAGGGAAAAAAAGCAGAGAAAACCGCAGCAGGTGCTCAAGTACGACTTTTCTATTGTACGAAATGAGAGCAGTGAGTGTTAAGATGAGATCATCGCAATGGTGTCGTAACCAATAGGGCCTGTATTTCATCGCAGCTTATTTCTGAATGACGAGGAACTGTTTGCTAATCGCGAACTCCGCCCAGCCTCAACGACCAGAACACGTTCTGCTATTAGGAAACAATTTTGCAAATTACGATACAATACAATACAATTACGAGAAACTCTCGGAATTTCCTTCGCTGGTACGACCTTCCCATCCCCCAATCATCTTGGAATCTCCCAAAATCCCACCACTTTCCCAATTCGGACCAATTTTTTTCGGAAATTCTCAACCTTTTCCTTAGAACATGGGGGAGGAGTGAAAAACACACGGAAACAGAGAAAACCGAGGAAGATCAAATCTTTCTAACTAGAACTAGTAAAAACTTGCTTCTCAAGTGCAAGCACTACCCCCTTACCTCCAGCGATCGAATGCAACCCCGCCTCGATGGTTATACCCAGCGTACGACGTGACTCACCAGCGATCAGAGCGGAGCGTGTCTTTGAATGCATGCTCGGCGCTGATAGCTGAAGCTGGGGCGGAGTCCGGCCTTTTATTGTGCCATGCTCACCGGTGCGCCTCCACCCCTTTCTGATGCTGTGAAGGTGCACCAATGCAGGATAAACAATGATTGGTCTGACTCTAGCCTGGATCGTGCCACTAACCGCTATAAGCCGTCGAAAACATCGTCAGTACACAGCAGGTTGAAAAGTTGAAGTGTAGGAGGTTATTGACTTCGCCTAGGGATACCAGAAAGAAGGACTAGGGGGGAAGAAAAGCCGAAAAAAAACTGTCGAACAAGGCCCTCGATTTGAAAATAAGAGGGAGAGATATGCCGAAATTCCGCGCGAGAGACCAGACAAGAGCAGCGAGGTAGCACTTATGAGAACAAGACGAATAGCAGTGCAGGCGGAATTACTGAAGTTTTGCCTAGTCACAAGTTCAGCCTTGCGCCACATCCACCTGTATAACATTCTGAGTGAAAATTTACAAAACTATCCAATTGCGTTTCCCATTTTTCACACCTTTTACTCTTCCCAGCAAAGAGGTTTGATGCTTATAAGTAATCACGAGTAATTCGAAAGCATAATACTCAAAATACTAACACGTACCCTTGCACAGTGATTTCTTTGCAGCCGACGGTGTGATCGTCGTTCTTCTCTGCGCATCGCTTCTCCACGTAATAGGTGCCGTCCTTAACACAATTTGTTCAGTAGAGTTTAAAATTTAGTTTGGTCCCCAGCAATATTTTCACCAGCA